TTTAACACAGCCTAAAGTTCCTCCGTGACCCACACAGGATGCTCCCTGTGGTGCACAGTGAGGAATTTTAGCAGCCAGAGCACTTAGACAATGGCACATGGGTACACAGCGGCTGTAAAGAGACAGAGCTGAGCTGACAAGGAAACACAAGAGATGGAGACATTCCCTTCCTGTGCCTTGGGTTCACTTGCCCAGAGCACATCAAGGTTTACAGCCCAGGCTCCCAACTCCACCTAATAATAATCCTGGCAATCTTGGAACAATCCCTTGGGCATGCAACTGTGCTGGAAATCAGACAGCCCACACTGAGCAAGTCAGTGAGTCATAAATAAAAGACTGAACAAGTTTTTAGTGGCACAGTTTTTCACACTTATTTTTTAAACTCCAATTCCAACACTAAAAGCCTTGGCTGTGGAACACCTCCCAAAGCACAACCTGAAGTTCACCTAGGGGGAAAAAGCCATTAGTGGCAAAGAGACAAACATATAATTTCACCCCTGCTTGTAAAAAGCCCTCACAGGAGAATGACTAAGTGCTCTGAAAACCCACACCTCCCCTGTTTGTTTCCAGTTTTGCATGCTTAGGTGTGTCTGCACAGCACAACACTAATGACATGGCATAGGACCATCACAGCAAAATGCATCCTGACACCCCTTCAGACACAGAAATAGGAAATCTAATCTTCCTTAGGAAAATGAGATTTGAAAAAATCTCATAAGTGCTCATTTGTATCTTCTCACATCTTTAAAAATATACAATAACTTCATTTGACATCATCACACCAGGACAGGCAAGTAGTTGCAGCAGCAGTACCAGCCAAGGAACACCTCTCACAGCCCCCTTGTTCCTGCCATAGCAGCCTCACCTCTTCCAACACAGCTGCTTGTGCACACACACACTTCCCTAATTCCTTTGTAAAATATCACATCTGCTCGCCCACAGGCTCTTACAGGGGTCTGAAGGCAGAAAATACTGTAAAGTACTGTACCCCAGTGTGTATGGCAAGAGCACATCTGCCATTAAACCATGATCTCAGCTCTCAGGATGCAGTTCCAGTGATGTCCCACTTTCTCAAGCTTCATTCTTGCATCACATTTTCATTAGGGAAATTTTCCAAACAATGTTACCATCACTAACAGCAGCACAAGGTCAGTAATGATGCAAGTACATGAGAGCTCTGAACATCGTGCTGTAAAAGACGATAGCTGACACAATGAGCTCTTTCATCTACAGATATTTTTAAAGATCTTCAGACCTGAATTTCAATATTAGAAATAAGCAGAAGAATTAAGAAAACAGATACCTGAATTTATTAACTAATCTTCAATCTCAAAAGAAAATCACAACTGTACTACTTATCATTCTTCTAAAATCAAAATTGTTTAGCTGAAATCAGAAACAACACTGATATATTGAGACATTGCCAATGAAAAAAATAATACCTGCACAGAAACCAGCTTTATAAACCCTGTACTGATCTTTCCAGGAAATTTTCTAATGCAGCCTGCCAGGTTTAACCAATATCTTTCAACTTGCAAGGCAATTTCAGAATTAATCTGACTTTACTGGCTCATGTTGGTAAACAGGAAATAGAAGCTGGACTCTAGCCCACTGCTTCCCAAGAAATTACTGTGTGCAATAACCCATACACCATACACTCATCAGTTCATACTCCAATTTCTACTCATTTTTCAAGATGGTACAAAAGAAACTGCAGAAAATTAAACACAGTCTACCAAAAGCCAATTGTAATTTATGTCTGGTGTGGTGCTACACACATCAAGCTACAGATCAGAACTAAAGAAAAGGAAAAGAAAAAAAATCACATTTGTGTAACATATTGCTACTTACACTCACCTGTTTCAACAACATAATCTCATTCATTCAGTTGAAATTTTTCACTGGAAAGCAGGAGCAGCTAACACAAGCAACACTGCACCTTCTGCAGCTAACACAAGCAACACTGGAACCCAAAAGCTCTTCTTTCTTACCTTGCTGACTTTGGACTACATTCATGACTTAACTAGGCAAAGATGAAAGGAGTACTACCATAATAATAAAAAATTGACCAGCATGATCATTTTATTTTATAATTACTTCTTTCCTTGCTATACTGAATAAGGTGCCGAAAAATGAAAACTGTCCAAAGCAAATTTGTAAACACTGAGTTCAGGTCAAACCTTGCTCGTCTTAACTTGATGGGGAATCAGAGCAAAGGCAGGCAGCACATGCGGGGTGCATCAGGAAAAGTGCAAGATTCTTAACCAGCAAGGACAGCTGAAGACCACTTCTGGCATACCTGGACTAACTAGGCATGTTACAATTAAAGCGAGCTTTCATGTCATTCAAATAACAAACCACAAGGCTGTGCACATTCTCAAGTGTGAGATTTTTACGGATGGCTCCTGCCCAGCCGAGAATACATCTTGATGATGTTTCAGCCCAGGAGAGGTCCCCTCTCCAGAGACATGCTTTTGATCACAAGAAATGAGCTGCCTATGAGAAGGCTGCGAATAAATCAAGCGCATTTCCCAAACTGTGAACCACCCTCGCAGCATCGGTAAAACCCTTTGTGAGCGGCCACACTGAGCAGGTGACATCCGCTCCTCGGCAGGAGCCACGGCGACATGCGGGCAGCGCTCGCCGCCTCCGCTCAGGTGCACACCCGGCACTCCGGGCTCCCAGGGAGCTCCGGCCCGGCGGGAGCTGCCACTGCCGGATCGTGGCATCCCCGGGCTCCCAGAGGAGCTCCGGCCCGGCGGGAGCTGCCGCTGCCGGACCCGCACCGCGGAGCGGAGCCGAGCTCCGGGCCCGCCGCCGCACGGGGGGCACAGCACGGACCCCCGCCCCGCCCGCGCAGCATCTCCCGGGCACGGGGCGCAGCGGCAGCCCCGGCTGGAGACGCCGCCCGGCTGACCCCGCTCCGCGGGCCGGCCGGAGGAGCGGGGCGGCCGGAGGAGGCCCTGCGGGGACCCGCCGCCCACCACCACCACCACCACCGGGGCCTCACCCTTGCTCGTCCTCCTCGCAGGCCTGGCTGGGCTGTCGCGCCCCCACGGCAGCTCCCGACGTAGCCTTGCTGCCGCTCTTCTTCAGGATGCCCTTGATGGGCCCCCGCCGCGTCGCCGAGGCGTCCGGTACCGACGGCTCCTCCATGGCCGCGCCGCCCGCCCGGTTCCGCCGCCGCCGCCGCCACCGCCCGGCCGGGCCCGCCCCGCGCCAGCGCCTCGGCCCGCGCGCCTGCGCCCCCTGGCGGCCGGCGGACCGACAGCGCCCCCTGCTGCCGTGAGGCGGCGCGACCGCGAGGGGGCGCTCTGCGTGCGCGGGGAGCGCGGGAATGGACACGGGGACAGAGGGACACACGGACAGGGACACAGGGATAGAGGGACACACGGACACGGGGACAGAGGGACACAGGGATAGAGGGACACACGGACACGACAGGGACATGGACACAGATACACGGACACGGGGACACTGACACAGAGGGACCCAGGCACAGAGATACAGGGACCCACAGGCACACGGACACAGAATCACGGAAACGGTCAGGTCAGAAGGGGTCATGTTGCACAGGTTTGTGTCCAGATTGCTCTTGAATGCGTCCAGTGACAGAAACCTCACAGCCTCTCTGGGCAATCTGTCCTAGTGCTCCATTACCTGCACAGTAAAGAAGTTCTTTCTCATATTCAGGTGAAATTTCCTGTGCATCACTTGCTGCCTATTGCCTCTCATCCTAGTGGTTGGTACTACTGAGAAGAGCCTGGCTCCATCTTCTTGGCATCTCCCGTTCAGATCCACACCTCCTTTGATGAGGACACACGGACACAGAGGTCTGGCGTGTGCACAGTCCGGTGTGTGCTGCCCTGGAGGTGTCTGCGCACCCACAGAGCTCTTGGGGCTGATGCCTGCTTGGCACTCCCACCCACACCCGAGGGTCTGGCACGTGCAGGGTGTCCCACGTGCGCTGTTGTGCTGGGGACACGAGCTGGCATGGCAGGGCAGGCTGCAGCTGGGCTGTGGTGTCCCCGAGCTCCTGTGCTGCCATGCAGAGATGCCCCCAGCACGCCGTGTTTGCCAGGGCAGCCCAGGTTTGTCACAGTGTCTGTGGCACAGCAAAGGAGCCAGCGTGGTCCCCAGAGGGCCCAGGCATGGCAGGGGTTTGTCTGTGAGTGAAACATTCCCATTTCTCAGCCACACCTGGAGATCCCAGTTCCCAGCCAGATCCAGTGCTGGGCAGTGCTTGCCCTGCCCATGGGGCTTGCAGGGTCCCACCCCTGGGGCTCAGTGCCTGCACAGCCACCGTGCCATGGGCTTGCATCACACACAATGAGGGCTACAGCAGCACCATCCATGTGAGAAGGAAAATAGGAACCCAACGAAGCAGTGATGAAACGATTACACCCAGAATCTGACACACTTGGGAACAACTGGGCAGTTGTTTGTATCCTGGCATGCCCATCATCCTTATCGCCTGAAAAATTGGGTGGAGTGTTTAATTCTGTGTCACAGGAACTGTGGCATTAGGATTTGGAAGTTTAAAGGGATAATAACTTCAACATGGCAGTTGTTTCTGGTCCCTCCCATCCTGGCCTCCTCTGATACTGGCTTCCTGCTCAGCTCCTGTAGCTCTCCCAGGGCAAGAAAGTGCTCTGCAGCACACCTACACCACCAGGGTCCCACCAAAATAAGTGTAGAATGCTTCCTACAGCATTCTACATCCATGTCATAATTTCTTCATGTCAGTAAAAGCAGCAGGAGAGGGGGGTCACTGTCAGCCAAAGCCACAACACAAGTTTTCTGGCAAGGCTCAGACAATGGGGGGTGCCCATACACCCAACCCCAGAGAGCTGGAGAAAGCTCCAGGCTCCTGGAACAAACCATTTCCTTTCATCACTGGCTGTCTTGCTCCCTGCAGCCCCACAGGAGGAGCAGGCCCCACACACTGAGTCCCCCAGGCTGCTGGCAAAAGCTGTGCAGCTGGGAGGGTACAAAAGGCCTGAAGCAGGTATTTTTATTTCATTTTTAATGAGTTGCATGAGTGCTATCCAAGCAGAGCTGTCGTGGTGCCTGCGGAGCACCTGCCGGGGCAGATGCAGCGCCAGCAGGCACCGGCACAGGCAGCAGCAGTGCAGGATGTCAGGCACAGCCTGCTGTCTCCTGCTGCTCAGGGAAAAGCCTCTGGAAGACAGAACAAGGGAGCAGCCCCATCTCTTTATGCCTGCTTACAAGTACAGTCAGAGCTGGCCCCTCGGACCAGCCTCATTAGAGGCAAGAGGAGGACACATATAGATATTGGAGATGGAGTGATGCTGGATCTCTGGACATTTTTAGATTTAAAAGACAAAAGGCAAGATCTGATTTCTGGCAAGGAGGTCTGCTGACTTAGCAGCAATGTATGCCTACTGCCCTGCATTGGGAAACTTTCAAGACCCTCCCAGCCTCAGTTCCCTGGCTGCATAGACCCACCATGTCTGGATGTTGCTATGCTAAGGCAGTGCCCACAGTGTAGCTTAGACACTGCAGATTCCTGGCAGGCCCAGAAACATCAAGACAAAATTTGGAAATGAACATGGGGCTGTGTGATAAAGGATTTTTCCCCAGGATTAATACTTGCACATCACATCTCACATCTTTTCCCATCCCCATATTGGAGAACTCACAGCAGCAGCAGAGTTTCAGGTCTGCACTGCAGGGTTTTTTTCTTTCACCCATTAGCACTGACTCAGACAGTTATGCTACAAAAATCAGAGAAAGACAAAAAGAGGGGGAAGAGCAATACAGGGAATGACAGAAAGGAGTACATCTGGGCTGGCAAACTACTGTTAGCAAAGAGGAAACTAATGTTATTAAAATTCTCAGGTACGCAGAGAAATTCTAATGGATAATAAAGCAAGCAGCAAAGTTTATCTCTGGTCTGGTGCTGTGTCACTGCATGCCAGGAGTTACATCTCAGCAGGGCAGTTGGCCTGGTCAGTGGGGATCATCTTATCAGTGTCGATCTTGTAGGACTGGAGAACTCCCTTCAGGTTCTCCACGGTTTCTGGGTGCATGTCAGGAGCTCTTGACAGAATCCAGGCATAGTCCATGTGGAAGAGCCAGAGGATGTTAGTGCAGGAGTAAACCAGGGAGTAATTCTCATAGTCAGTGGAGATGACCCAGTAAGGGGCAGCAGGCATGACTAGGAGAGAGGAGGGCACCGTGATTGCTGTGTGGAACCAGCTCTGGGCAGCTCTGCTGCACCCCAGCCACAGCTCCTGGGACTGCTCCCACTTTGGCTGCTGCACACTTGTGGTCAGTACAGGCAGCTATAATTTATAAAAGCCTACCAGGACTGCTTGTTCTGCCCAGAGGAACTTGGGAAAGACACAAAGCCCTGACTGTGAAGGTCTTTCTGGAAAGTTAACACTATGACCTGAACAGTTCTCCTGGGCTGATGAAAACCAGCCCAGCCTCACCAGTGTGGGGGTGCTGGCTGCCAGGAAGGAGCTGTAGTGCTGGGAGCTGGCACTGGTGACAGGAGGAGCACAAACCCACTGCCATGGGGAGCCAGCTGAGCCCAGAGCTGCTCTCTGGGGCTCACACCAGTGAAGGTGGCTGGGACTGCACCTGCTGCAGGTGAAATGGCTGTGGTGGTGCTGCAGCAGGGCAGAATTCAGTCTGGCTGTGCTCATGGAACAATGACTGCCTTTCCAACTACCCCTCCTCCACCCATCTCTCCAAATAACCCCTCTGCAAAAGGGAGCTATGAAACTGCCAAAGAAAAGGTGGTAGGAGCAGAATAAAATGGGATCCAAGGGGACACTGCAGCTCACTTCCCAGCGTTGCTGCAGAGAGAGGAAAGCACTGGGCAATGTGGCACAGCACCTCAGCAGGCCCCTGTGGAGTGCTAGAGTGACAAGGGAAGGAACAAGCTAACAAAACCATATTATTAATGGTTATTAAAAGCCACTTGTACATAGAGGCAGCGTGGGCAAGTAGCTGTACCATAGTGTGCAGAGAAACAAGTTTATTCTTGGCTCCTGCAGCACTGTGGGGCTGCCTCCTCCACCTCCCTGTCCCCATCTGTGGAATGACCTGGAGGGACAGCAAGGCTGCTGATCTTTCTTGCTCTGAGACCAGCTGGTGAAGACTTCACCACTGAGGGGGCTGTTACTGTAAATGGCATATCAGTGCCACCAAACCACTGCCTGCTGGCCACAGCATCTATTTTAGCCCTTTGCTGCTGTGCTGAAGCCACATGGGGAGCTCCACCCGCCCCAGTGCCACGGGACAAAGGCCAGGGCACAGCCCTGCCCTGGGCGCCACCAGGAGCCCTCCCAGCACACCAGTTTCACTTACACCAGTTAAAGCGCACGCCCAGCTTGGCCGGCTGCTTCACATCCATGTGCATGAGCTCTCCTTCAGCTTCGTTGATTCTGCCATTGGCACTGAGAGGACAACGACAAAGGGGAGAAATAAAGTCAGGAAAGTGGGAGATCTCTTGTTTTCACTTCCACTAAATCATCCCTCCTGACACAACTGCCTGCCAAGAGGAGGCTGAAATAGGTACTGGTAACCCCAGCAGCCCTGAGGATGTACTGGGTGGGAGGAACCCAGCATGGGAGGATGGGAGGATCCCATCCATGATCTTGGATGAGCCAGGGAGCAGCTTAGCTCCTGATAGCTGTGGAAAGCACATGTTCACTTCTGTTTAATCACCTGTGCTTTTTCCAGGTCACTGCACATTCCTCCTCAGGCAAATTACCTGTACCTGCATGGTGAGCCAGGGTTTCTTTGGCTGCTCATTCAGAGCACTGCCCTGCTGGCAGCAAGCCCTAAGACTGGAGCTGCCCATCTCATAACAGCACTTTTGCACCGATGCCTCAAGACCTGGATGCTGCCTATCAGGCAGGAAAGTTTCATGTTTCCCTGTAAAACAGGAACAGCCAAGGAGGCAGAAGTGAATGCTGCCAGCAGCAGAGGTCAAGGGGCTGATGCTGGAGCCATGCACACCCAAAATATCCCTGATATTTCAGAGTCCTGAGCTGCTGCAGCAGGGGCAGCAATGACTGGATGGATCTCGCAGAGATTAATGCAGGCACAAATGAATGTCCAGCTGTTTGCCAGGCACAGCCCGAGCAGTGGAGCTGCTGAGACACTGCTGAGCACTCTGTGAACAGCTCTGCCCCAGACACAAGGGATGTGTTCCTGTGCTGCTGCTATTGTGAGCCAGAACAAAGTGCCCATGCCATGCCAGGAGCACAGGGGACAGCGCTCCTTCCCATCCATTCAGCCCCTCACAGCAGCAGCCCACAACAGCACAGGCTGGTGATGGAAACAGACTAATTAACACCTGTATCTGTCCGTGTAAAAATCCAGGAGGACTCAGGATAATTGCAAACTATCCTAATTCCCTAAAAAAGGGAAAAGCATTCACTTCACCACTGGTTTAAACTGACTATTTCTGATCCCCTTCCACAGCAGTTACTACCTGTGCAATGTAAATTCTCCAGAAACAGGCTGACAAATACTTAAGTAAAAATTACTCGTGTGCTTCACCTTCCCTTCCCCTTTTCCTTGTCTCTTTACTCTGGAGCAGAGAGGAGCACAAGGCACAGGCACTTCTGAGCATGCAGGGGCACATAGTGGTAGCTGCCATCCCATAACCAGACCCTCCCAGAACATCCAGCTTCTCAGCCATCTCTGGGGCTGACAAGCCAGTCAGGGGGGAGATCCAGGCTATTTTATGCTGAGGTCACCATGTACATTTGACCTATTTTCTTATCACTCACCTTGACAATGAGACAGGGACCAGATGATCCTCGGGTCACTGGCAGGAATCAGAGCCCCATATCTCTCGGAAGAGCTACTGCAACCACAAGCTACCTCCCCCAGAACCCTCAGCCCCAGCCACAGGCAAATTAGAGAGAAATGAACACCGAAGACAGCAAGTGCCACTGCCACTGCGAGGACATCGCCCAAACACAAACACTTACAGCATCTCCTTGTTGATCACCTTGAACTTCCCGTTCTCCTTCAATGAGTAATTCGCCTGGATGCAGCTTCCTTTCTCAAAAGTTGAGGGCAGCTTCTCTATCTCGTACCATTTCCCCAAATACTGAGAGAAGAAAGTTTAAAGAGATGTTTTTAACATGAGTGAGCTGGGGCAGAGTAGCCTGTTTTTGTCAGCACAGTTTTTGCCCCTCAGTGGTTGGGACTGGGGGCGAGCAGAGCTGCAGACCCACACTGGCACAAGGTGTGACCAGAGCTGCCACCACCCCTGCACCCAGGCAACTGCTGTCAGCCCCATGCCCACTTAGCTTAACTAGCTACACTCTGAGATTTTTAGAAAACTTTTCACACCTTGTTGATATCGAAGTCTTCTTGAACAGATGGATCTGGGCACGGTCCCATGTGAAACATCTGGCCTTTCCCAACGCTGAAGAGGCTGAGCAGCACCGAGAGCCGCACTGCCGTGCCCAGCATGGCTGCACTGGGATGCAGGTGGGAAATGCACCTGGGCAGAGGGAAAACAGCTGAGCTGGGGCCTCCCTGGAGCAGAGCTTTGTACGAAATGCAGCACGAGGGATAGGACATGCAGCAGGGCCCCTCAGGGGCACAGCAAGGAGAAAGGAATCCTTAGAAGAGTGCCAAAGAACCCCCAAGCCCAAAACAGCCTTAAGCCCTGCCTGTGCTCAGGCTGTGCCCAGCAGCTCCAGGAAAAGCCAGGCAATGCCTGGTGAGAACACTTCTACTTGTCACCCACATCTGACACCTAGCAAGGTGCAGGGGTGATAAACGTCCAAGGACTCACAGGAGCATCATTATTTGTCCAAAACTGAGGCAAGGGGAAATGCAGGATGTTTGCTTTAAAATGGTGGAGCACAAGGAAATGCTCCAGAGCCAGCAGAGAGCTGGGGCCCTAGGACATGGATGTGACCTCTGTACACCTGCATGGCAGGAGGGACATCCCCAGGTAAGCCAGGGCTGCCTGACACTGCAACAGGGAGGTAGAGATGCCTCTGGAGGGGTCTTTGTATGCCAGGATACACACAGCACTGCAAGGTGAGGAAGTTGGTACAGATTCAAATCCGCACTAAATACAACAGGAACAGACCCCCAAAAGCATGGGGTGAGGAGGGAAAGGACAGGTTTTCCTGCAGAGCAGAAGCAGGAGCTGCGCTGCTCACACCCCAACAGTTGCTGGAGCCAGGATGCTGCCCACATGCTTTGGGCTCTGCCTGGAGCAGGATGGCATGCACAGACCCTGCAGCACTGGGCTGCTCTGCTTCCCTGGCTGGAAACTCCTGCACAGGAGCAGCAGTAACATTTTCCCCAGGTTCAGAAGAAAAGCCCAGTCTGTCTCCAGCGGCAGACACAGGCAGTTCCCAATTTGAATCTCCCAATTCAGACGTACCTTGGTGGGCGAGGCACAGTGATGCTCCGCAGATGACCAGGGCGGCAAGGAACAGCTCTGGTGAGCTCTCTGCTTCTCTTTATAAGTGTGCTGGAATCATCATTATTCAGCTCTGGCACAAGCCACTCCCTGGTCCTCGACGTGTTTAGGTTTTTGGCAGGCCAGTCAGCTGCCTGGGATCTGCAGCTGGTACGAAGCTGGAGATGGGCTGCAACTTGGCTGCTCACCCAGGCAAACAAAGGCACCCCACGTGTCTGGGTACTGCCTGCAGCTGCAGAGCTCTCTGCCTTGCAGCCACTCACTAAAGCTCAGGCCTGGGTGCAAGTGGCAGGGGAAGGAGAGAAATGCCGCAGCCTTTGAGAGGGGCTGGGGACAGCAGCAGCTCCCACCCAGTGCCCTCTGGTCCAGCAGCAGCCATGGCCATGCTCCAAGGGGGGACATGCAGCCTCCTACTTGAGCCCTGGAGATCCTCCAGGCCACTGCAATGTCCTTGTCCCCATCACAGTCACTTGCTGTGAGTACATGAGGAGCATGAAGCAGTAGGATGCATCACAGGTTTGTCTGAGGAGCTGTAAGACCTTTCAGCAGTTTTCTTCTAGACTTTTAAATCTTATTACAAGGAAAGATGCTGGTGCAATTAATTCCCTGCTGACCTGGCACTTTTCCCAACAGGTGCCCAGCAAATGCCTTTGACAGCAGAGCAGCCATCTGTGAAGGCAGCCAGTCCCAAGAGTTATACAAGAGTTGAGTAATTGACAGGAAGCTCCCTGTGTTTAATTACATTTTTATCTAATCTCTGTTGAGACTTTCTCTCTCCAGATGTGTTTTTACATGCTGCCCTGCATGCCTTACTCACACATGCACACACACACACACGAGTTCCTGACTACCCAAATGCCTCCCCAAGAGCTACAGACAGCTCAGTCCTGTCCTCTTCTGGGGCTGTGCAGCCGAGGTGTGCCCTGAAACAGCACAGCCAAGGTGTGTCCTAGGACCTCAACCACCAGAGCTGTGCCTGGCTCAGCCAGCACAGAGCCAGCAGCAGCAGCTGGGGGTGAATGGCCCAGGGGAGCACACGGTCCATGGTCTGCCACAGCGCCTGGCCATAACTGGGCTGGCACTGCCACTTGGGCTCCTGGCACTCCACAGCCAGAGTCACACCAGGGCATCAAGGTGCTCACCCAGCCATGCTCCACAGTGTTGTCATCTTTTGCTGGGGTTCTATGCTGCTGTCTCCTTATCTCAAAATCTTCATACCTCCTTGGTGTTTCTTGTGGGCAGCTCCTCAGAGAACTGGCTCTTTCTTCTTCACAAAGCAACCAACTGACTCCAGTTCCCTTCTCACCTACCCACCCCACTCTTTTATAGCACTCTCCTTCTGATTGGTCACAGCTATGGCCTGCTAAAGTCAGGCCTGTTCCTAATCTTTGATAATTGGCCCAGCTGCAACTCCTTAGGGGTAAGATTACTTTCTACACTATCTTTATTTTATTATATTCTATCCCCCTACACCATGGAACTCCTGCTGCAGGAGTGTGCAGGAGTTGGCCATGGCGAGGATGCTGACAAGTCAGGAGCCAGCAGGAGCTGACACTCTTTGAGACCAGAGCCCGATCCATGTCCCACCTGTCATTTGCCCACAGCAGGAGCCTGCTCTGAGCCACTCCAGAGCAAGGGCTCGGGGAAAAGCATAACCTTAAAATTGCACCTAATTGTGGGGTGGGATCTCAGCATCTCAGTCATCCCCACCTGGTAAGCACTTTGTGCCCTGGAGCAGAGGAGGGGCCACACATCAAAGGGCAGGAAGCTGGAGCAGGGGAGGAAGGACAGGAAGGAGGAAAGCTTTGGAGAAACCAGGGCAAGGAGAGGGGCACCAGACATGCTCGGAATGTTCATGCAAGAATGAAACCTCCCCACATTTCTGGGCAATGAGGCAGCTGCAGGGCTGGGGCACAGCGGGGTCCCACAGGATGGGGCTGCAGGAGGATGGGGTAGCAGGGCAGGGGGGCTGCAGGGGCTGGGCAGCAGTGGGTGCAGAGCACACACTGGCTGAGGTGGCATGAGCCACACGGCAGGTCCAAGGTGACAGCATTTACAGACAGACTGCATTGGCTGGGATATTCTCACACTGCCAATCGTCCCTTTCAGAGACAAAGCTCATCTGGCTCCAGTGAGAGGATGCAACAGCACTGAGTGCTGCCACAAAGAAAAAAAGAAAACCCCCTTGTTAGAACAAGCTAGAAGTGCAGAGAAAGTTCAGCCAGCAGAGGGCTAGGACAGGGCAGTGCCACCCCACCTGTGACATTCTACCTGCAGCAGACCTGGCTTAGGGCAGGAGTGAGATTGTCCTGCTGCACCCCCGAGGTATCAACCCTTGGCACCTGTGAAACCGAGCAGCTTCAGCCAGCCAGGCCTGGTGGGGACTTGGCTCCCAGGGAGAGGCTGTCCTGCCACTCTGGGTCTCCAGCTGGGATTCCAGCGCCTTGAGAACCAGGATAACCTGGGAGTGCTGAGGGTCCCACCATGGAGACAACATTGTTTGCATGGGCAGGTCTTCCTTTTTGCCACTACCTTTCATGGTGCCTTCCATTTTGTTTTTATTCCTCTTCTCCAGGAAATGGGGCTTTGTGCTGGCCAACAAGTTGCAGCATGTATATAGGAAAAAAAAATCAACAAGTAGGAGACAAGACAGAGTAAAGAAAAGCAGGTGGGAATTTTCCTCTGTTTTTAGGAGTGGCAAAAGGTGCTTTGAAATCTCTTTATGCAGAATGGTGTAAAATTTTTAATTACACTTACGACAGCAAAGGAAGTAAACAGACTCTGGATGCGTGAACTGGCCTCTGGGATATGGGAACTTGATCCCATGCAAGTGCACAAAAGATGTCGTGATTAATTTATATACAATTAGTGAGTAGCTCTCCACCTTGGAAGTTATCCAATTATGTATTCAAACACAAGAAACCAAAGAAACCAAAGAGAGAGAATTTAGGCACTTAGAAAACAAAAAAGGGTGTTATTATTTAAGGGACAACCCCTATCATGCAGGACCAGCAGTGTTTCTGGCTGTGCTGAGGAAGGCTCCTCAGCCTAACTGGCATTGCTGCCAAGATCTGAATCCCTGCAGAGAGAGAAGCCAGAGGGATATTTACTCTTCAGAAAGTAGAAAAAACAAAACAGAGAGAAGGAAAACAAGGTCTCTGTATACAGAAATATATTGCAGATCTGCACCAGTGACAAAGCTTTGGCCCAGTGCCATGTCACCCCTGTGGATGTGCACACCATAAAACCTGGAGTTTAAGCAGTGCCCATAATCCTGGGGTTTTGCTACGTTCCAGTGTCCCACATGAAGGGCTGCCTGATGCTGCTAAATAAGGTTTAAAAAGTTTTGTTGATGCATTTGCTGCTGGGTTCTCACAGCAGACCCTGGGTACAGGCAGAGCAGGCATCCAGCCAGGTTTGTCCTCACCGAGGGGGGAAAGGAGTGAGTGCACAACCTAAGGGGGCAGAGTAGGACTTCTCCAAAGGATGTAGGAGCAGATCCATGGGCATTTACCAGACTCCTGTGGGCCCTGTCTGGGAATGCCCACTCAGATTTGAGCACTGTGGGCACTGCAGGGCCCTGGCTGTGTGACTCAGCTCAGCACAGGGTGCTGCTCCCATCCCCTGTGCCCAGCCCAGAGAGCACCCCAGCTGCCCTGCCCTGCATCCCCTTCTCCCACAGGAGACCTCCCACAGTCCCCAGTGGATTCATTATGCTCTTTTCTCAACCAGAAACATACTGTAAATGATCTAAAAAATGTCATTAAGCATGTTTAGAGAGCTTTTTCTGCAAATGAACTTTCTATTCTCATGGAGGAAGCACAGTGATTGGTTCACAGCATCACCAGCTCTGTCCAAGAGATGCCCAATTAAGGCTATTTAAAGCCCACAGCTCTATTTTCTGAGGCTAAGCCACATTTCAGCCCTTAGCCCAGGCATGCTTTAATGCAGTTACACAATTATATTTTCTATGACCTATATACAACCTACATCTTCCTCACGACACAGATTTATAGCAAGTGGGTAATCGCAGCTCTGCTCACGGAAAGAGAGAACAGCCCCTATTATGTTAAGGAATGCAATTAAGAAATCTTCCTGCAGATTATGCTGTCCTGCAGCCAAGCAGGAAGCCCTTTGGCAGGGTTTGGGCTCTCCTGCTGCCAGAGCACTTGGGAGCCTGCTTCAAGTCAGCAACTTGCATTCCTGGGCACCAGGAGCCCAGGAATCACACAGGGAGTTCAGGGCTGGCCTCAGACTCTCAGATATCCCTCACTCTTAGGCCTTAAGGCTGTTTTATATATGTTTTATAAGTACACCAGGAAGATCCAAGGGCAGCATTTTGCCCTTGAAGGACTTCTTGACCAGCCAGCCCAGCATTTCCATCCCATATCTCTGCGTCCCCCCAGTCTCACACCACAGGTCAGAGGAGAATTTTAAGAATATCCTTTCTGAAAGAGCAAGTCTCATCCCTTCACACAGGCTGAGAGCACAAAGACACCGGCATATGTGTTTGGCTTTGCCTGTGAATAGCTGCATTGAGGCCACCGAGCCCAAGCACACACAGCCTGCATTGAAACACAGGCCTAAGTGTTTGCTAGACTGGAACTTACATTGTACAGAAAATAAATAACATAAATTCAGTGGTCAGTGCTCTGACTTTGGTGCAATGCATGGTTACAGTATGAAATGGCACAGAGATGCCATTCATGGTGAGTTTCATTCAAATCAGTTGGGAGATCTTAGGAAAGATTACTTTAGACAATATTTAAAATGCTTCTATCTGTGCTGCAGCCCAGGAATATTAGTCAGGTGTGTATTTCAGTGAAAAGAGATCTGACTTGAGGACATGCATGCATTTTCCACATGCCACACCTTGCATTCCCTGACATAATTATTCTTGTTGTTGTTGTTGTTATTGTTACCCATAGACTAGAACAAAGGCTTCTTGCACCAGGACAGATGTAGAGAAGTGTAGAAACTTTCTTGGGAGGCAACAGATCAACCTGGGACTGATTTTGATTCTGTAAGTGCCCATGCACAGACGGAGCTGGAAGCCAGCTCCTGGCTTGTGCCTGCAGGAGGGAAAGCTGCCTGAAGCAGGAGCTGGGCAGGCTGGGCCAAGTGCCGTCCCTGCCCACAGGGAGCTGGGGGCTTCCTGCTCCTCTCAGTGCCTGTTAGTGCTGCAGGAAGGGAACAGCCACCCCCTGCAGGTGTCCCCAAAGTCTGAAGGAACCAGGCAACCCATGGGCTGTGAAAGTGGCAGTGCTGCAAAAAGAAGGTCCAGATATGCTCTTAGAAGAGCATATCTGGAACCTGGGGACTTGCTTGTTGATAAAGGTACAGCAAAATAACATGTGCAGGGAGGGGAGGAGGTTGTGACTTAGTGTGTGGGCCAAGAGTATATGGGAAAGATGGGGAGGGAAGCATTTCCTGTGTGTGCACATGGTGTGGCAGCAGCTCCCAGTAAAAGCACTGCCTCCATCCATCCTCACACCAGTGCTGGCCCTGAGAAACTCAGTGCTGGAGTCCCTTGTTGGGATGGACAGACCACAGCACCCACTGGCTGACTGTGTCCTGCAGCTCTTCAAAGCCACCTCGTGCCAACACAAGCCACCACACATTTCACCCTCTTTAAAGATGGCCACTGCTTCCTTGAAGCCTTTTCTGAGTCCCCAGGCAGATTTTCTGCAGGCACTTCCTTATTACCAAAGTGCACCTCAGCTGTATTGGAGTACTTGATCCACATTTCTTCTTTGGAGGGCTGCCAGGCCAAGTACCTGCACCAGCTTTCCCCAGGGAGGGGAGCTGTGCAGCCATACTCCAGACACCCACTGGATGTCTCCAGAGGGACACAGGGACTGACATATCCCTCTCTGCAGTGAATGATGGAGCCATGGGACCTTTCCAGGGTGCATTCCCTCTCCCAACAGCTCCCTCCTTAGTCATGCTTCCTGGAGCAATGGTTGTCTCTCATTAGAGCTGGAAAGGGAAGGTGCTTTGCTGTGCTCTGTATGCTTCAACACCTCTGAGCAAGCAGAAACCAGGAAGGAGACACAAGGACAGCCTGCTGACTGACTGTCATAGTAACCCTGGTTAAAGTCTGACCAGGAAAATGACTTCTCTTGCAGCACTTGACCCCAAAAGGTGATAGGTACCACCCACACCCCTGGTGTGCAGTAATAGACCGTGCAGAGTTTTCCCCAAGCTGCTGTTCAAGGTCCCTGGGCAAGGTGCCTGTGGGGTGATGGTTAACCTTGGTGCCTGTTTAAGAGCAGCACTGTGGTGTTAATGCCTGCCCTCACCCCTGGCACCTTCCTCCCTGGAGCTCCAACAATTCAGAGGACTTTAAAAGCCACTTTTAGCAGCCTTCATGCAGAAGACTGGAGTCACCACATGTATTATTCTACCACAAAAAGTAATTCAGCCTGTGGGAAGGGGGATAATACCTATTCTGGCATCAGTTATAACAATAACTCCAGCATGGGCAGGGTGGTGGCAAAGGAAGATGGGAAAGAAAGGGAGCTTGGTGCAGGCAGAGTGATTTATTCAGGCCATTTAGGGAACCTGTAGCAGTGCCAGGGCCGGAAATGCTTCATCTCAGTCCCCACTAAACCATCAAAACAGGCCAGTTCTTACCTGGTTCCTCTCCTGAACACTCTTTTTACAACTAAAGCAAGAATTCTTTCATTTTTCCCCTTTTGACTTTTACTGCTGTCTTATCAAACACAGTGAAGGAAGATCTCAGGTGACCACATCTGTTCCATCTGTGTGCTGGAGCTGGAAACACCTGGGAAACACCACTGCCCTTCACAACATCATCTCCTAGGTCCTGCACAAGAAAGAGTTTTCCTACCAGGGGCCATGCTCAGGGGGATGGACAACCTTGTGCCATGCTGGCTGGGGAATGCCCCCCTGGCCATACATATGGGGATAAAACACAGTCAGCTTCTCTGTAAGGGCAGAGGAAAGCAATACTGCACAAGGGGGTGGGCAGGGACCCCTCTGTCACTGCTGTGTTGGCAAAAAGTGCAGTGAAACAAAGCACCCTCAGGGAACCAAATTAAGCTGCCCTGCAGGCAGTGGATTAAGGCATGTTCAGTGCAGCATGCTGTGATAAGTGCACTGAACCCTGGCTCAGCCAGGCACTGTGCCCAGAGCTGCCTTCGGCACCGGCAGGATGATGCTGCCAACCATCCTGCCAAGGGCTCTGGAGAGCTCTTCCCTTCAAGACACCACAGGAGAAGGCACTGGATGCTGCAGGAGACCTGCACACACAGCTACTTTGTGTCTTCTGATAAGCTGCTGTCAGGGCTGAGGTATTATTTATCAGTATTTTGAGGTGAAAACACAGGTCTGCTCTTGCCTCAAAGAGCACCAGGGGAGAGGATGATAGGGCTGTATCAGTAACATCCCTGTGGCCCTTCCAACGCTGCTGAGAATGAATTAACTGTATCTGGCTCCAGGCCAGGCCCTGGAGGTGGAGCTGGCTCTCTTACAAATTCTCTATTTGTAGCATCTTTCCAATACCCAGAGCTCAAGCTGCTGGCTGAGAAACCTGCTGGTATTGGTTTGGACATTTTTCAGCATTGTGGTTACACAAGAAGCTGTAAACTTGTGTTTCAAAACCCCAGCCAGAAGCACAGGTGTTGCTGTTGCTATTTACACCAGCATGTTTAAGGAGGATCTTTAAGCTAGGAAGATAAATCCATCCTGAGTTCCTGAGGTCTTCAAGTTTCCAAAAGGCTGAGCAAGCCTCCCGTGTGTGGGTGCACTGGGGGGCACTGCTGCAGAGCTGGATGCTGCAGAGCAACACTCCCTGCAGAAAGCCCAAAGGTCCCACACCCAGGCACTGCCCTGGCCACTGGCAGGACCTCATGCAGAGGACTGGCCACCTCTTGGCTCCCAGTGCCATCACAGAGAAGCTGTGAATCTGAAGGGAAAACCAGGATCACTTCACAAAGGCTAAGGGGTGCACTAAGGAGCTGGACCATCCAAAGCACTGTGAGAAACATGCAGAAAAAGGTGGGACAGTGCCACAGCCTCAGCAGCTGGTGCTTGAAAAAACAAAGCCATAGCAAGCTTTGGCAGCATAATTTCTTGTAGGATATTACAGCAGCAATGAGCATGGGCTTCCATGGGATTTCACTGGACTTCTCTCTTTTGTCCTCAGGCTTTGAAGGTCACTGTCGACTGGAATTGAGTTTTCTTCCCTCTGTTACTCACCAGCAGAACAAAAATCTGCCCTCAGTGCCATACTAGTGCACCTCTATGGCATGAGACGTGTACTCTTCTCTCCCCCAGACAGCCAGAGCTCCCCTCCCAGGCAGAAACCAGATCAGGCACTAACAGCCCTCCCGAGCACTCCTCAGGGGGCACAGGAGGGGACTGGGGCTCACATGCTGTGAAATCCTAACCCTGGCTCAACCACGAGGTCCTTGCATGGCCTGGGACACTTCTTGGCTTGCCAGTCTCTGTTCTTTCTGTGAGAGGAGCTAATCCTTATTACCAGGCAGCTGTAGCCCTTGGATGAGTTACATGAAGAGTGCTGAGGCAATGAATAATGCACAGCACTGCTCTAAACCACCTCCTTCGAGGGAAACCACACAAAATACAAACACTGACAGTGTTTACAGAGAGGCCTCTCTAACTGCCTTCTGCTGAGGAAATGGGCCATGCTGCCCATTCTGCTCCAGGCAGTGCTCACTGAGCCTCCACAAACCCACTACCTGCTGAAACATCATTAATTGTTATTATTAAACCACCTCCTTAATTACTGAACCTAATTAAATCCCAACCTCAGATTCAAAGGAGGTGGGAAAACAAATGTAGAAATGAGCACTGGAGCCAGAGACATATGCTTTAAAAATCTTACCATTTATTTTTCTCTCTGTGCAAATCAGAGCTACTTAACATTAATCACATTTCACAGGGCAGGGGTCAGAAGTAATTACTGTTTAAGCTGCAGTTCAGTGGGATCTTTCTGGGTCCTGAATCCCAGGAAATCTCCATGTGCAGATGATCTGGAAAAGACACAACCTGCACAGCAGTATTTCTAGGACTTGTTACTTGTAAGACAAGCTGCCTTGACAACATTTCCAAGGGAAAGCTGCTTTCCTCCTGAAGGCATCACAGCATTCATGGCTGCATGCAGACTCCAAGAATTTGCAGACAGTGGTATACAAAAACTTCAAGGCACAGTTTCCAAGTCAGAGCTAGCAGAGGCAGATGAAGAAAGAGCAATCAATAAGCTCTTTTCACAGCCACTTAATCTCACAGAAGGCAAAACAGAGGAAGGAAAAGCTGGTCCCTAAGAGTGAGAGGCTCAGGTCCCAGCCTGGCCAGCAGTGCCTGCAGCTCACTGGCTGCTCCACCAGTGGTCACCACTGGAACACAGGGAATGGGGCATGGCAGGCAGCCATGCACTTGGAAAACATTATTGAAATCCTGCATGTGGCCACAGAAGAGACCCTTTGGGATACTGGGTGAGATATATCATATCAGTTATCAAGAGGTAGATTGAGAAGATGATTGTGTGACATGGAGATTTCATTGTGCAATATTAAAAATAGGAAATGTGTCCCTTAAAGCATCCTTCCAGAGCTCACAGTCAGGCCACACTAGCTGCACAGTGCCCCATCACTGTTCAAATGCAGAGGATAAATGAAAAAACTGATTTGGAAAAGCCAACAGCATCTCCCTCACCAGCCGGAGGGGAATGGGGATGGATGGGCAATGTCCATACCACAGTTACTCATGTAAGGTAGTAGCCAAGAAGCCAGATTTGTTTGCTGCATCAGCTTAAACCCTGTCCCACAAAGCTCAGCAGCAGCAGGTGGAGAGGGGCTGCTGAAAGATGGCTCAGACCTCATTATTAGTAGGGTTTTTCTTTGCCCATCATGTGCCCAGTTGTTGGCTCTGGCACCTCCTGGTCACAGTGCTGGGAGGGAAGAACCCTTCTTTGCAGCTAGGTAATGAGGCTGTTTAGAGGCAATGTTGCACTTTCCCTGGAAAGAGCAGACAGTCACAGCACAGCAGAGCTTCTTGGCAGTATCAGGAAAACAATGGAAGGCTGTGACTGACCCATTTTCAACCAAATGGAAAACTCTGCTTTTGTTTCCCATTTTAGTTTCTCCCTTCAAGCCATCTCATAGCAACAGCTTTGCTGTGCTATTAGCAGTTTGCCCTTGTAAGGAAAAGCAAGAGCCCATTAATAAGCCAAATTTATCTGCTGACCTAATTACACTGGCCACATATTTGACATGTTATATTTACCTTCCTCTGCTTCCTCCAGAGTTAAAGGGAAAACACCTTTCGACTTTAATCAGCACAGCAAGAAATGCAAACAAGAATGAGGGAGAAGAAAAGAACCACAAAATCATGCAGTTTTAGCATTCCACAACACAGGACTTGAAAGTGGAAGCATATGCATCTCCAGGGGAGACACAGCAGCAAGGAGTGCAGAAGTGAGCCCTAGCCTGTGTGTGAGCCCTGGAGGGATGCCTGAGGGATGCCTGCTTACAGCGTGGCTCCGGGGATGTAAAGCCAGTCAGCAATGGCTGTGGGCAGGTGGGTCATGACCTGCAGCCTCACCCACCAGTACATCTCCATGGGGTTGTAGCGGTTCCTGGGGCGCGGGGACGTGAGCGCTTCGGTGATGGCGTTCAAGACCAGAGACACGTCCTTCAGGCCGCTGCTGACGAAGGACTTCATGGTGGCCACGTGGCGGGCGAAGTGCTCGCTGCCGTAGTCCTGCCGCACGGCCAGGGCGGCCCCGCTCCACAGCGCCTGGGCCTGCCTGTCGATGCCAGCCGCCGTCAGGATGCCCGTGGCTGCCACGAAGTTGCTGGGCTCGATGAGGACGACGCGCACGCCCCAGCGGTACATCTCCTGCCGCAGGCAGTCCGAGAACGCCGCCACCCCAAACTTGGACACGCAGTAGCACGAGCGAGACGGGCTCGCCATGCGGCCCAGCATGCTCGTGATGTTCACCACACGGCCTAGAGAGAAACCAGCAGGGACGGGGATGAGCTGCAGAAGCAGCAGCCAGAACACCCCGGTGAAAGGTACTCAGTGGGATGATGCTGATTTGTGAAATCTGAATCTTGAACACACACCCCCTGTCACGGAGCTTTGCTCTCCTGCCTCAAGCAAGGCTAACCCCTGTTCTCCAGAGGATGGTGCATATGCCTGCCTCTGCATCAAAGAATTTACCAAGCATACAAGACATTTCCCTCCTCATTTCCAAGCAGGGAACTACCACGATCTTCAAGACTGTTAGCTGTGTGTTCTCTGGAGCGTGCCTCACCCGTGTGTCTAGCTAGAGAAAGGCTCAAGCTCCCAGCCTAGAGTGTTATGATCTGCAAAGCTCACAACTCTGTGTGATTTTATACAAGTGTTCTAGTTCTTTCTGCAAGTTTGACAGCTCATCTGCCTAACACATGTGTGTACTTTTAGACCTGAGCTGGAAGGGAGAGAATGAGTAGAGATTTCTTTGCACCTGCAGCATGAGCAGCACAACCCACTCACCCAGCTGGTCAGCCACAAGTCTCTACAGTGGCCATTCCTGGGACAAACAGGAGTAGACTTGATGTGCTGCTGTTCACAGGCAGTGGAGAGCAGTTGTCCTAATTCCTGCCAACAGCCCGTGACAAGCCCTCGGGGCACTGCCTCAGGGCAATGACAGCAGTGGTCACTCCTCTGTGTGTGTCTCAGCACTATGTGCACTATGGTTTCAGATACACTTACAAACAAGCCCTTGCAATTCCACCAGCTTTTTACAGAGAGCATTTTCACAGCCAGGAAGCACAATACCCTTCTGCAGCTCAAAGTTTCAGCTGAGAAACAAGTGGACAGCTCTACTGTCTCATTCCAGACCTAAGTGTAACTTAGAGGGATTGTGAGATGCACCTGCTGAACTGAAGGGTAAGATACTTTTTGTAGTGAGATAGAGCTCGTTTAGTGGTTAATTGCTGTCTGGGAATGGCATCTGAGCAATCTTCTTAATATACCCTCTTTTGTCCTCCCAGAACACACACCTATACCATCATTCCCACACATGCTAAATAAAGAAGCTCTTCAGAGTTCTGCTCATACATATCTTTTCTCAATATAAAACAAAGAGTTTTGACAATACCATTGTCCTGTAAGACATCTGAAATGGTTGTCATTAAATCTCATTTATTCTGTCACTACCTGAAGTCATCTGTGAATGGAATAACATGAAGGGAGAAGATGCAGTTATCCAAACATGACCACTCCGTGGACTCTGGATTATCTTGTCTGTGTGATATCTGTGATATCAGACAAAAGTCTCTGATATCTTGGATGTTTAAGACAGTACCTGCTGTGTAGGTGCCTGGCCTGTCCCAAGAATAGTCTGTACTACCAAATGCTTACATGGCATCCTCAGAAACACTCCTTGGCCTGCACAGGCATTCCCCCAAGTACAGCATTTCTACCTACATCACTTTGCGGTGCTACAAAAGCTCTGAGCCTTACCCACTGCCCAGCATGTACCTTTAGCTCTGCGAATGAGGGGCAGGAAAGCTTTTGTCACCCTCACAGTTCCCCATAGGTTGACCTCTGCCACCTTCTTGTAGTTGTCCAAACTTGCAAATTCCACCTCTCCGAAGGTTGAGATGCCAGCATTGTTCACTAGGCCCCACAGACCTGCCAACAAACACATGAATAAACAGAGGGACAAGGAAGAGTGTCACAGAGAAAACACTTTCCTTGTTGTTCATAGTAACATAAAACCTTAACAAAGAACTGGGTACTTTCGTAGAAATAAGTTGTAGAGAAAAATCCAGCAAGGAGATGAAATATGTTCTTCCTCCACCAGGGGCTTGTTTGGAACATCAGGGAAAGTGATGGGGCCACACAAGTATTGCCTCTTGACCATCTCCTGGACAGTCAAATGCTCTTCTAGGGCTTCATAAGGCTGCATCTGGCTCTTTTTTAAGCCTCCTCTTGATCCGAGGTTTGTCTCCACTCAGTGACTTTATAATGAATTTTGCAATTTGGAAGGGGCTGGACTTTCTCAGACAATTAGGAGGGGAAAAAAAAGAAAGGAAACAGGTATTTTTGATTTCTTAATCCCCTTCACAACTCTGGCTTGCTGTTTGGATGGTACATGGTATTGATCTGTACATTCATGGCCTGGTTAACAGCTATCAGTGTTTAAGTCCAAGTATTTGGTTTCCCTCAACCCTAACTTTATCAGGAGTTAGCAAACTTACAACCAACCCTTACAACTACTGGAATTTAAAAATTAATGTCTTTTGCACATGCAGTCCTGTCAAAATTAAATTGACTGCACTTCCCAAGAGCTTCTGTGATGAACCCTTTACATGTGAGGACTTAACAGGTCAGCAAGGACTTGACTCTTCAAAGCGATTCCTGCAGGACTCCCAGTGGCAAAGATCTGTAGGGCTGAATCCATGCTGCCCATACTGTCTGTAGGGCTGGGCTGAATCCATACTGTCCATGCTGTCTGTAGGGCTGGGCTGAATCCATACTGTCCATACTGTCTGTAAGGCTGAATCCATACTTCATGGATTTATTGAAGCATGGGACTATGCAGCCATAAACTGCACGAGGAACAAACAGAGGAATTGGAACAACACAACAAAGTTGCTCCTCATTAGATGTCTTCCCATACACCATGGTTATTTTTCACTGTGTTGGAGTCAGGGCTGGCCTGTTGGGGCTGCATTAGACTCAGTTGAAGTTGGGGCCCCTTTCCACTCCAGGACCTTCCTCTCACCAAGAACTAACAGGGCTAAGAAGGAGTCTTCATGTCCGTGGATCTTCAACACTGCTATCAAAAGCACCAATGTCATGCCACCCTGTTGATAAAAGTTATCAAGCTCTCTTTCAGAAATTTTTGGGCTATTTGCCCTGCCTCTGCTCCATGGCTTCCCTATTCTGATGTATGAAAGTCTTTTAACTTTCACCCTCTATTGATTCAGTCAGATAGTAACCATGTATTTTACCAAACATAGTCTTATAAGCAAATTGCAATACTCTGCCAATGTGCAATGGCATTAACCTCCTGTTGCACTTAAAAACATCAACATGCCCTTGGCAGACTGACTGTGCTCTCACATGGGCCCCAGTAACCCTGCCCTGTTCCCAGCTAAGGTTGTTCTCCCTGAAGGTTGTTTCCAGCTGTGTACAGCTGTATACTGAAGCTCCCAGTTGTAGTGAGTCAAGATGACTGAAATTCACACTGATCTGCATCCAGCACAGCATTGCACCCTGAATGGGATCCTTTTGTAATTTCAGAGTAATTTCACCACTAACAAAACAACATTCTGAGAAAATTTGGCAGGAATTTAACAAAGACAAACTTTCGATCACAAACTGACCTCTGCATAGCATTCCTTACCAAATTCCTGTAAATTTCTGTACAATTTCCCATTTCCTGGGTTGTGATGTTAGTTCTCATGAACGTCCCTGAATCATTATTTACCATCATTGGTTGCTGGAATTCCATTGCTCACAGATCAGGGCACGTTACAAACAGAACAAAGTGCTGAGGGGAGCCCAGTCACAGGACTGTTTGCTGGACAGCAGTGTGTTTATTGAGCAGAGCCTTATCACTATTACGTTTCTAGAGTCAACAAATACAGTGGGAACTGCATGAGACCAAAAACAAACGGGCACTCCTATCCAAAGAGTTCAGCCTTATGTGCACAGCACAGGGAGAAGAGGTATAAAGAAATGCAGAGCCCAAAACCTGTTCTGCAGTAGCTCTTCTGGGGTCACATTCAGTGTGCAACCACACCTCTGTGCAAGGCACCTCAGTCTCAGTAGTCTTTATGTTCCAGTACCTATTATTGAGCACTATTTATTGGGAAGCCTCCAACCTCAGTCACACCTATGGGCCTAAAAAGAAGCCTTTGTTTCTTCACACACAGTGCTGAGGCAAACAGCTACAGGAGGAACCAGTCCAACTTGCTGATCAGGGATGCAAGACTTCTCTGTCCCTGCTACACACACAGTTTTGCAAACACTGCTGCATTTATAGAAGCAATAGAGCTGCTCCCTTCCAAGCTTTCACTCAGTGGAAAAAGGCTTTCTGCTACCACTGCTGTTGCTGGGCTCTTCAGGAAAAGCTTAAGAAGCTGTGAAAAGCAGGACGAGGGCTCGGTGATTGTGTAGGAAGAAAAATCATGCAGAGAGAACATGTGTGGGATCAGAGCTGGTACATTACTCAGTTACATTTCATATGCTTGTTTTAGGAAAGGTGTGCTCACGTAATCTGCATGAAGATTAGAGCTGCTGTTATTTACTAGCTTCACACTTGCTGTGAACAAAACCAGGGCCATGGCAGACTCATCTAAGCTTCAAGATGAGCAACCACCTTCAAGTCACAACCCTGAAGTCCTGAAGCCATGGATGTCAGACTTCGGTTCACCCTCAGCCTGTGTCTACAGCTGCTGGCCAGCTTGCTGCTGGCACAGAGGCTGCAGAAAAGCCTATGCAGGGCAAGAAGTCTCACCTCATCACATGGGAAGAAGTCAGGTGGTGTCACATCAGGCTCTGACTGTAAACTCACATCCCACTGCCAAAGCACTTCAAAGAAGGAAAGAACCCTTATCTCCCTTGACATGCCTTTGGGATCCATGAGCTGGACTCATGCTTAAGTTGACATGTGGATTAAGGTCACCTCTGCCAAGCCTACCCTGGATTCCACTACACGCCACCTCTGGGATGTTGCATGGCAAACTGAAAACATGGATTGATCTGAGTGAAGATTAATCCAGGTTTGGGGGCAGTTCAAATCTGTGCTCCAGCTCAGCACTCAGTTGTACCCACACAGCAGAGGGGACAGCAGCAGTAAGCAGCCAGAGCCCATCACCTCTTCACTAGCAGGGTCACTTGCAAGGTCTGCATGAGCTATGAGCACGTGGGGCAGGAGTGCAAGGAAGGGATCAAGCTCTGGCAGTTCTGTGCCCTTCACAGACATTCAAGGACAAAGACGCAGATACTCGTGGGCTAGCTGCCACTCATGGCTTTTTATGGGATGTACAGTTAAAGCCTAATCCTCCAGCCAGTCTTGGTCTCTTTCCATGTGGCTGCCACATCAATAACAAGACAATTGTCCTCACTGACCCGAGAACAGCACAGCCTGACTGCCAGCCACATACTGTCACAGGCCTTCAGGCTTGCTAACCCTCTTCTGGTGGTGCACAGAGAGAAAGACCTGGTAAATGCATGGTTTGCCCTGCAGAAAGGATTCTGTGAGCAAAAGATCCCTACATACCTTCCTCTGGCTCCTTCAGGGTCCTCTTCACAAAATCCACAGCCCGAGCCACCTCCTGGTCACTGCACACATCCATCTGTAGCACTTTCATCCGCTCAGACTTCATGTTCCTCAGCTCCCTGGCTCCATCTCCATTCTCATCCTGTCCAATAGAACATAAGGGTGTCCCATTAAGATGGACCAAGAACAGCAATGCAGCTTGGGGCCAGGTATATTCACATGGAGAGGAAACAGAAGCTACTGACACTGCACACACAGGTGTAAACTTGGTGCACAACTATGCACAATCCAGTGTGCCACCCTCCTGTTCCCTCCAGCACCACTTCCACAACTGCATCAGTGACACAGTGCCCTGAAGCACCACAGAGCCCACTCTGCTCTTGGCTCCTCATGATGGGTTTCACATCCCTAACATGCTGAAATATTGTGCCAGCAGGGGAGAACCATGGGTACCTCTCCACTGCCTCAGTCTCTGTGCTCTATGGGTAACATAACTTGTACAGAAACTGGAGTCAGATGTTCAGGAATACCTGTTCAGCGAAGATCTGCTACACAGCAGCACAATTACAGACATGAGGCATGAAAGGAGATTCTGGCTAAGGAAGAAAGAACTTTTTTTCTTTTCCACTCAATAGGCAATAAAAACTTCATGGCTCTGCTTTCCTTTTCACCCTTTTCCTTTTTTTCCTCCCCATCCCACTGCTATCATTAGAGATTCTGTTACTACTGTGGTTTTTTGTTTGTTTGGGTTTTTTTTGTTGGTTTTTTTTTGTTTGTTTAGTGAAATGTAAACACAGTTAAAATTCCAAATTTTACCTGCTCACTTCCAGGCAAGATTGCTGCCTAAGCCTTAGAGCCTTGCTCAGGCAGTAAATAACAACTAAAAGTCAAAAGAGCACAGATTAGCAACACAGTTCCACAGCAGGCTTGAGATTTATTCACAAAACTATTCCCTGAATCACAAGCTCTGCCTCATTAGGGAGGAAGAAATTATGAATTGGTGAGTCACCATGCCTGGCTGCCACTCTTCCTTTATCACTTGATACCACCTCCCACAGCACAAGGGCAAACAAGGCGAGCAACCCACCCACAGTCACCTGCTCAGCAGCCTCTGCAGCCAGGCAGATAAAAAAAACATGTCACTGCTTCGTTTTTATAAATATCTCAGGCTATTTAATTCATATAGTATACAACATCTCATCTCCACCTTCAGTCCAGTGAACAATGACACATAATGAAGGGAAAGAGCTGAAATGTCCATCACAAACATGAGCAAAACAGGGCAGTTCTCTTAAAAATCAATATATAGTTACACTGGCATTATGACAGTAGTAGGAATGAGTTCTTGGCCCCATGGCTGCATGTCATTTCACAACTGACTTCTTTCCCAGTACAACAAGAACAGCAAACAAAGTTGGAAGCTTTTCTAATGCACATCAAACGGGCTGTGTGTGACGGGCTGTGTTGGCCCTCTTATCTAGCCACAAAAACAATCTCCACGTGGTGTTACAAATAGTCAACAACATGCTCACCAAAATATTATATTCCCTTTGAAACAGATGAGGGTTGTATGATGCCTCAATGTATTTCTGGAAGATGCTCCTGCATCTCACCAAGTTTTATAAAGCAAATTTCCACTACTTAACAGTGTATAAAGTGGAGCAAATTCAGCTTGTAAAGAGAGAGATTTATTGTACCTCTATAAAAACCATAACTGTATCTGCATGCAAGTGCCAATTGTCATTTAAGCACTGAAAAGACCTTTCCCTGCATTTTTTTCTAATCTTGCATAATACTTATAAAACAAAGAAGAAATATTTCCACCGCTTTTTGAGAAACAAAGTCATAGGCTGGCAACTTAAAAATCCAGTAAAAATTGTCTGTATTATTCATATGGAAATTAATTTTCCCCTGTCACCAGTGCAACTCTATCTGCAACCTTCCCAGCTACAATTTACTCATTATTGACAAAACATATTGATTTTGGAAGACTGACTTCAACATGCAATATCAATTGGGACCACTTTTCATAGTTGCACACACCACCTTAGCCACTATTTAACTGTAAAACAAAGTGCCCAATTCGTTTGTCCAGAACACCACAAATGGAGCAGCTACAGATTTTTATGGAAGCAAGTGAACATAATCTTATGTTCTGTGGTCTTCAGGGGCTTTAAGTGCATTCCTTGTTAGGTTCTATATGGTACTTCCTCCTTGTTTTTAAAATGGTAGATTTGTTGGCTGGGATAATACCGAGAGTAGTTCCCACGGGAGCAGCCAGACTGTCCTCCCAGAAATTATCTTCATGATCTTCACCAGCAGGAGCCACACAGCAGCACAAATCATGTGAGCTACCTGCAGCAATGGCCCAACTGCTCCTGCAAAGCCTCTCTCTGCTTCCCTTTGCTGATTTTTGTCCTCTCAAAGAATCTCCCAGCTTCCCCTTCCCAGCTCCATATGAGTTGAAAGCCATTGTGTTCCAGCCCAGCCTGCTGCCCAGGTTCTCTCCAAAGGCCTTCAATGGGACTGTGTGGTTTCCTCCCAGCTATCTCCTATCTATCCCCTGGTTATCCTGCCTTGGCAGCCCTGCAGGCTCTGTGCCTAGCAGGGGCTGCTCCTGGCTGAGAAGCCTAGCAGCTCCACAAACCCCCTCTACCCAGCTGAGGCAACTTGCTCCAGCTTTTGGCTGTCTCCCCTTCCCTTCTTTGCTCCTTTCCCCTGTTCTGGTTTGGAGGATCCCAGGGCAGTGGTGCTGAGGAGAGGCAGATCACACAGATGTTCATCAGTGAAGAGCCCCTGTTAGAGACACAGCCATGGCTTTTTCCCAGGGAAGCTCCTGGGATTCAGGATCACATTCAGCTCAGTGGGATGTCAGGGGGAAGCAGGAAGCCATGAACAATGCTGAGCTCCATGGATGCAGGCTCCTCACCCCGTGTGCGCCAGTTCCTTCCCAGCCTGCTGCCAATGCAGGCGCTGCCTTCCTGCGCTTCCTGAGCGGAACACCTCGTGCTTGTCCTTACTGCATTCCAAACCACTGGAACTGATTTCAGACTCCATCTGACCTGCCAGGATCATTTTCAACCCTGTTCCCCAAAAGGCCTATCTCTGCATGCTTCTGTGCATATTTTTTTCTGAATGCAAACTCTTCTGGGCTATGGTCTTCCAAGGATATGGTCCTGGGACTAAACAGCAGTCACTTAGAGGATGAGTTTGCTCATGAGACTATCATGAAGGACTGTAACAAACTGTGACAAAACACTTACTGGGATACATTGATTCCATCCCCTTCAGCCACTCTGCTGCTTAGCCAAAATGAGATTAGATTGACCCAGCACAGTTTGTTCCCAGTAAACTTATACAGGCAGGGTGCATCACACTATGATGCAGTCATCTGTGAAACTGACAGGGCAGTGTGTGGCAATTGCATCGAGTGCACTGAAGGTGAGCTGCCTGGCTGGCAATTCCAGAGGTCTAGCTCCTTTGGGAAGGGAAGTATGATATCTGTCCTCTTCCAGGCTTCTGGAAATCCCCTCCAGGTGCTCTTGAAAATATCACCCATGGGGCAGAAATCACAATGGCTCATCCTCTAAATGCCCTTAAGTATATTTCACCAGGCCTGGTGAACTTGAGCACATTAATTTATATATAAACATCCCTTGTTCTTTACCTTTTCTTGCCTACAGTCCTCATGATAACAGCTGGCCATAGGGACACAAAAAAAATATTATTTTTTTCAATAAGGTCAAGGAAAATAAAACAATTATTATTTCAACTTTTACTGTTATTTCTGCTTTTAAGGTTATTTATTAATCTATTTCTGTGTGATTTTTCCATCTTAATCCTTATATATTAACAGAAACTTTCTCAGTAGACTTTCTTGTCCTTGCTTAATGTAATCTTTTTTCCATTTGATCCTTTCCAGTTCTATCCCAGCCTGCGTGAAATATTCTTTTTATTCCCGTAACTTCATATTTGACTGTCTGAGCATTAAGAAGCTCCTTATCATTAAGAAGCCCCTGATGCACCTCACAGTCTGTTATATATTTAATAAAAGAGCTGTCTGTGGTGGTGTAGTACATCAGGGACCCTGTATTTCTCTGTATAAAAGCATGTAAGTGGTGATGGACTAACTAGGTGTGAACTAAGAGCCTGGCATCTGCTTCATGACAACTGCCCCCACACCTGCTCTGACCCTGCTGGGAACCTACAGCAGCTCACAAGCAATTAAGCAAGCAAGCAAACAGGACTCACTTCAGGAGCATTTCATCTCTTTATGGAGTTTCCAATGGAGCCTGTCCCTCTGCTCCACACTAGCATGTGCCTTCCAAACAGCCCCCTCAGCCACCCTATTTTCCCTTTCCTTTCCGTTCCCTACATCTGCTGCTCTGCAGAGTGCCTGACTTGCCATCAGCACTGAGACAAGCATCCCAAAGCAGCAAATGACATGATTACTGAAGGAATTACAGAGGCTCCTTATGGAAATTTCCAAACAGTGGCAGTAATCCAACAGGACTCTCTTGCTCTCAAGTTACACAATATGTCAGCTGATAATAACTTTCCCTTCTGGTGTGGTGGAAGAACGTAATGTCTGCCACAATCACACAGGCAGTGAAGGCCACCCTTGTTTGTTCTCACCTTCCACAGTACTCTAAAATCTGTAGTCATCATGCCCTGAGCACCTGTGCTGATGTGGTCATCTTCAAATGGAGAAATGAGTGACTGTTAACTGATTTTGAACAATTCAGGTCAGAAATCACAGTTTTGTCTAGCAATACAGCAAAAATGCATAGTAAAGGTAAAATCCCAGCTGACATGGCAGTGGAGCCAGCCCAGTTTTTAAAAAGGGTTTCACAACACAAAGTTGAAAGCCCTTTGTACGAGCAGGGATTGGAATGAGGAGTCTGCAACCATTTCAGATTTAGTGTGTCTAAACTTATCTCTTACAAGTGATGCCACCTGCTAAACACATGTGACAGGAAGTCAGACCTGAAGATGTCAGAAATGTATGGTAAATTTGTTTATTCAGCCATCCATAAACTGAACAGCTTTTACAGAAGCTGCAGAAGCACAGTTGCAAGACATTTTGGAAACAGAGCCTTAATAATGCAGAAGAGGTAGCTTGGAGATGAGTTTAGGGAGGGTGTCCACAAAAAATGACATTGTGAAAGACAGCAACAGGGACGCCATGGAAGACAAACAGCCACAGTGCCACTGCAATCTTGGCCTATCAGATTTATGGTGTTGTGGTATTTCTGAGAGGCTTGCAGCAGTAAACAGGGCCACACTGTACAAGCTACTGTACAGACATGCAGTTGACAGATGAGCCCTACCCTAAAGAGTTCACAATTACAGGAATGAGGTACAAGATAAAACAGGCAGATGAAGCAATCAAAAATGTAACAATCCCTGCCCACTGCACCTCTCTCAGGTCTTGAACCAGGGTAAATGGAGGCTGCAAAAGAAGATGCTTTCTTTTGAGAAGTGTTTCTCTCTAATCAGAAAAATTTTTATTAATTTCTCCACTCACCATGAGCAAGCATCCAGCAAAAACAGTAAATCCCTTTGCATGAAGGCATTTTGCCAAAGCATGTCCAAAACCTTTGTCACAGCCTGTTATTAGCACCGCCTTCCCTTCAGCCTGTGTGAGGAAAAACAGTCACAGGATATCATCAGATATTGCAATGCAGGCACCACCACCACCCTGCCCCACAGCACAGGAGCCACTTGCAGTCCTGCAGCCAGGGCAGGTACAATTCCTGCTGCAAGTGACAGTGGCACCTGTGTACACAAACACAACCACCTCCCAACTACTGTGAAATCAAATTTATGCAGTTGCTGTCTGTAGCAATTTGTGTTGCCTTGATACCTGAGCTGGAACAGTAACTATTCCTTTCAAGTATTGGTGGCCAAAGCAGAACGGAACCATTTCAAGAGAAGTTAATGGTGTACCAGTTCATAGTAAGAAAAAGCAGCATAGAGAACATCCAAATGGCAGGATGTCACTGGCTTGAACTGTGCAGCAGCTCTTTTAGCTGCTGAGTGACTGCTGCCTGTTCCCCACCTACTCCCACTCTGTGCACCACTTTCCATGCTATATTTTAGCATGCAGGAATGTGACTACAGGTTAGAGCTTCCTCCTGAAACTCTGCAGTTTTAAGAAGAACAAATTATCAAATCCTACAGTTCTCTCCTACATTATCATTTGACTGACAGGTAAATTGAGAAAGAAGATTTGATATTCCATTTGATATGACACAACATAGGGTTGAGATAGATATGAAAGCAGAATCCCAAATCCTGAAGAGAAGCTATAGCAAAACACTGCCCATTCAACTTCTGTCTTTGCTGGAAAGCCATCTCCTCCCTACAGGTGTGAAGCAATGTGAGCTAACACAACCCAGCTAGAAGGCTGCCAGCTGCTGTGCTGCACAATGCTCCAAACTGAAACTATATCCATGAGGCAATAACATGATACAGCAATAAAAATGCAGAGGATGCAATAAGGAAGTGAGGTCAGTTAGATCTCCCTGGAGATATCAGCAGCTAATATTGCCTGTTAGTGTATTCACAATGGCTGGAGTATGAACACACTTATGTATGAATTGCACTGGCTGGTCCAGACACATTTTCAGAGAGAAATGGGTCAATCACCACTGCTCCCTCATCTCTTGCTTTGCTGACATGTGGTGCAGTAAAGCAGCAATAAGGAACGATTGCAGGGTGATAGTGATCAGGGCATTACTGCACAAACTCAGGGTGAGCCTCAGCAGAGAACAATAAGCAAATAAAGCTACACCCTGTCCTATAACTCATGTTGAAGTAACTGCTCTCAAAGGGGAGTTAAGATCTGCAGCTGAAACAAGAACTGATCAAAAGTCTGTCCTGCATTTATAATACAAACACCCACAGTAACATTATACTATAACCTATACTCAGACAAAGAGCACCTAGGTACAGACTAGCTCTATTAAAGCTCTAAAGATAGCTACAGCTAAAGGACAAAATATGAGTGAGAATTAAATATACAGTGCTCAGTCTGAATTTAATTTAGAGTGACACAACTCTAAGAGAGATGAAAATCAAACATTAACCAGATCACAGAAATTGTCAAGGTCACCTCTGGCAATAACTCAGCAAGCTGGCCTGTGGGAAAAAAAAAAAAAAAAAAGGATTTGACTTTTTATTTCTCTTTCTCTCACTTCCCTAGAGCCTTTGCCTCTGAATCTTGAAGGCAGGGGACTTCCCAAAAGAGCAGAAAGTGTGCAGGAAATAGGCAGCTGTAATCACTTTCAGAACACAGGTCAGACAAGCAAAGAAGATATCCAATCCTCAACCATCATTAGCTCCAAAAAAAGTCCCCAATCAACCAACCAAAATGCGGACAGAAATGAGGTTTAAAAATCCTTTCATCTGTCTTTAATAGTAAGGAAAGTGAGGGACAACTTACAGTTTGAAAACGTTCTTGTGATTGTTATTTGCTATAACCCTAATAGCTGGCAATAAAACACGTGACTCCAGCATCATGGCTCATAACAGACAGGGGCCCCAGCAGCATCAAGGAGCATGCAAAACCCCAAGGGATGTACTGGATCTCACATCTGTGCCTGTGCCTGTCTGTACCATGCCTGATGGACACAGAGCCCCCAGGGATGACAGCAGGGATCAACCCCAGCCAAAGGGACCCTATGCCAGAAAAACTTCTGAATGCAGGAAAGCCCAATCACCCTTATCTTTTGAAAGTCTAAGATAAGGCTTAATGGGCCTGTTCCTGAAGTTTGATAAGGCCAATCTGCAGCTTAATTTGACTCAATGCTGGGACAGGCAGAGAGGGTAAGTTATCAGCACAGTGACCTTAATGAGCATTCTGAGGAACTCAGGTGCCTCCCTCACTCAGGGTCACACAGGGCTGCCTGGAAACCCTGCATGCAGACAGCACTCCAGAGCTGCCAGGGTGCCTGGCACAGCATGCCTGGGGGCTGCTAGGGCACTTCTTGTACCAGAGGTGCTGCTGTGGCATGTGAACACAGTAACACTATGCTTGCTGTGTGATCCACAACACTATTACTCACGGTTCAGGCAGCCCTAGCAGAGCAGCCTCATTTTAACCTGCAGTCAGCTCAGACGTACACAGCATTTCCTACTGGGACATGGCCAGTTTATTAAATAGTATAATTTATTTTATTAATGCAGGTGATCCATCAGAATTATACATTTACTGCAGAACAGACTGAAGAAATTGAAGCTACTTTTTCAGCCTGTCTCTCTAGACAGTGTGGGAATATGGCATGCTTACCTAGACTTAATCTTTTTCTAATGTGCCGCTTGTTTGGTTTTTTTTGTTTTTTTTTTTTTTAAATCCTGTTCCCATTTGTGGCTCACCTGACCATTCTCTGATGTTATCAAACAGATTGATTTTAGGATAAGTGCAGTTCCAAAGTAAACTTGGCTTGTTCCTTTTTCCAGGATTGGGAAAATTAAGGTTTTCAATCCCAGGAAAAATAACTGAAAATATTCACTAAAGGGAAGGTATTTTCTCAAGTGGAACAGGGGTGGAGAAAGTAAGAGAAGCAGAGTGGATGAAGGAGTGAAGTGGGAGGCTACAGCTGTTATCTGGCCATTCCAGGGGGAAGGACTGAGCTGGAGGTCCTGAAGCAAAAACATTGGCTCAGAGAGCAAGTCATATCCTGGGCAACCAAAGCAGCATGGACAGTAGGTCAAAGGAGGTGATTCTCTCTCTACTTTGGTGAGACCCCACCTGCAGTGCTGCATCCAGCTTCAGTCCCCCGCACAGGAAGGACATGAACCTGTTGGAGTGCATCCAGAGGAGGCCACCAAGATGGTCAGAGGGATGGAGCACCTCTCCTATGAGACAAGGCTGAGAGAATTTAGATTGTTCAGCCTGGAAAAGAAAAGGATTTGGGATGACCTAACTGTGGCCTTCTACTTCTCAAGGGAGGCCATTTACAGGAGCACATAGTGACAGGACAAGGGGGAATGGGTTTAAGAGTAGGTTTAGATAAGATATTAGGGAAAAAAATCTTAACTGTGAGGGTGCTGAGGCCCTGGCACAAGTTGCCCAGAGAAACTGTGGATGCCCCATCCCTGGAAGTGTTCGAGGCCAAAGCAGACACGGCTCTGAGCAAGCGGGTCTAGTGGAAGGTGTCCCTGCACATGGGACGGGGTTGGAACTGGATGATCTTTAAGGTCCCTTCCAACCGAAGCCATTCTATGATTATACGAACATGTTCCCCCTCCAAATGAAGCACTGCTGGGAGGGGGCAGCCGCCGCAACGCGGGG